ATCCATCCATCCATCCATCCATCCATCCATCCATCCATCCATCCATCCATCCATCCATCCATCCATCCATCCATCCATCCATCCATCTTCTCCTGCTTAGTCCTTGTCAGGGTCACAGTGGGGCGGTGCTTTTCTCCGGCACTCTATGAGCGAGAGGCTGGGTCCACCCTGGACAGGTCACAGGTCTGTTGCAGGGCAACATAGAGAAGCACAAAGACACACAACCATGTACACAAAAACACACCTAAGGAGAATTTAGAGAAACCAATGAACCTAAAAGTCATGTTTTTGGAATGTGGGAGGAAGTGGAGTATCTGGAGAGAACCCACACAGGCATAGGGAGAACATGCAAACTCCATGCAGAAAGACCCCGGGCCGGGAATTGAACCCAGAACCTTCTTGCTGCAAGGCGACAGTCCTCCCCACTGTTGATATTTTAACAATCTTTTTTATTTTATTTTGTATAATAGTGTGCAATATGTTTATATAATGAAGTACCTGCTGTATCTAAATTGCATCTAGTGTACACAATCCCCAAAGTAAGAAGCAAAAAACCCATTCTTGCTTGGAAGACCATGTGGCTGATTAATCTTTTCTTTGCTTTAGATTCTATGCTTATTCTGCCTGCTTTTAACTTTTACATTTGCTGTTATTGTAATTTACATAAGCTATAGTGTTTGTTTTTCTTGTACAGAATTTGTGTTGTTGTAATCAAGTGTCAGATGGAAGTCTTAATAATTTACATAGCTTTTTCTAAACATGAGCAAGAAAGACAGTCTTAATGTTCCTGAAAATTATTCTATGTTTGTTGATGTAGGGCTTTAGTTTTCTGAATAATGTCTAAAATGTTTACATTACAAGCATTTAGATAACTGTCAATCTCTCACCAAACTTGTAAAAAAAATTCTCAATGAAAGCTACCTTTTATAAAAGAATGATCAATATGTTTGTTAACAAACAGCAGACATGAACGTTGCACAGTTTCTTACCATTTTTTTGTCGGAGGAGAAACCCACAGCCACCCAGCCGTCTGTGTCCGCACTCATCTCAAACTCTACATCTGTGCCAATGCGACGATAGCTCAGAAAGTAGTCACATGACTCTGCATCGCATCCTGGTTTCCCATACCTGCACACAAATAGAGCATCAGTCAGTAAAGAGACACAATATAAAGCTGAAATAAAACAAAATATTACCGTAGAACATACGAGTTTAGACTTCTTAAGCCTTCAAATTTTATCATTTTACAATCTCAGGATTGCATTTTCTATTTGGATTTTATTTGCTTTTAGAACAGCATACTGTAGGTTATAGATATGAAGTGGAAGGAAAGTCATAAATGATGTTCAGTATTTTATACTAATAAAAACTTGAAAAGTCTGAAATGTATTTGTCAAGATTACTCTGATACCCCTATATAAATTCAAGTTAAACTAATTACCATCAGTAGTAAACTAACTCCAATCTATATTTCACCTGAGCATAATTTTATCTTTTAATAAAACAACTATTCTGTGCAGGGAAAAAATAGACAGGGCAACATCAGACTAATAGAGAAAATAGAGGTATGGTTCAGGTTTTAAAACAAGACGTTAGAACCTTAAAAACACAGGTGCAGGTTCACCTCCCACCAACAAAACAACCCTTAAAAAAATAACCAGAGCTGCAATTGAATGCTTTATAATCAATGTTAAAATGGATCAGTCTAACTTAGACTTGAATCCACCAGAAAATATGACACCATGTTTTCACAGAAGCTCTTTATCCAGTAAGACTGACCTTGAGTTATTTCAAAAACCCCAGTCTGTGGTGCAAAGCTGGAAGATTCATCAGAGGTTGTTTTACAAAGTGTTACTTTAGAAGGATACACTTTTTGGCACAACTTTTTAAGATTTGTGGTCAAAAGGGATGTAAAATTGTAACTCTTTTTCACATATTTTAACTGTAGCTTCACTCAACACAAATGTCTGAGGACCTGTAGAAAATGTAGCAGCACATCAGTTTAGAAACAGTGGATTTAGGGCTAAAGTTGTGTTTCTGACCTTATGCAGCCTTTGGTTACTCCGCAGTCGCTGACTTTGATCTTGGCAAAAGGATCGACTGGTGGGGCTGTGGGGAATGGATAACCTGCAAGATAGAAAAAACAAAACACTATATAATACTATATAGTAGGCTATATAAATGATCAAATAAATCAAATGGGGAGAGGCATTCTGTTGTGAGTTTGTGGTGGAGGGATGGACCAGCGGGGAGCTGGCCTAGGTGCTGAAAGGCCCCGTGCAGATGCAGAGATGGGTTCAAAGCAATAAAATACACATCGTCTGCGCGCTTTTATTTTCTCTTTGCAGTCTCCAATATTTGTTCATACGTAACCAAGGTCCACTTCTATTGGATTTGATTAAAGAGATCCAAATCCTTACCTTCATCAGACAAATATCTGGACTCCAGGAACTCGGAAGCGAATGTGCTGTACGAGTCCTTATGAGCCTCCTGATGGCCGGGCTCTCCGTGCTCCCCGTGGCCGGTCCGGAGTGCTCCTTCATCGGTGGGGCTCGGCGCGACTCCCCACCATCCGCTCCGGAGGAGCAGCACCGTCAGCTGCGCGAAGCTCCGCAACAAAACCATGGCTAATAATGAAGCACGGAGTGATTAACGAAGGCTATACTGAAAAGGGAATCAAAGCTGGTCTTCATTTCTCTACGATTCCATTGGATGGGTAAACATCCAAGGCAGCGTCACGGAAGCATCTCCGGATTCTGCTTTTCTCTGTACTCAGAGATATGAGGGGATGCAGCGTCGCACACTGTCGGATTGTAAGGCTAATTTTTATTTAAATTGGCCAGATTTGTAATCCGATTACTTAACAAATGCTTATAGCCCTAATCCACAGTGAACCTACACCCTGAGCCCCTCTGGTGGTATTCTTAATCTGTAATTTCTTTAGAATCGGTAAATGGTTTCGTCCTCTAATATATTTCAGCCAATAAGCTGCCGCTACGTAGTGGCATCGGGACAGATCAATTAGGGCCCAATTTTCTCAACATTGCCGTAAATCAAATACGAAGTATAGGTGTTACATTTATGGGATTACATTTATTATTGTTTTCCAAATTTGTCCATGATGCACAAAGCTATATATTGTATATGTGACTATTTAAAGACTTCTATTTGAAAGACCATCTCTAAGCATTGCATCATTGTGGGTGGAACTAAGGTGATAATTTGTTTTCTAACTTCTTTTCATCTGGCAAATGAAATCAAATCAATATTTTGAAAAGCCACCTTTCTCTTTAGTTTATCTCTACCAGCTCTTTATACACAGGCATAACTTTCTGAGGGACTGGTGGGGACATGTCCCCACACAGCAAATCCAACATGCTCAAATCAACACTTTCAGATTTGATTTTAACACCCTTAAAGTGTCTATATAGGTCCACACCAGCGAGTGTAAATTTGACTCTTTGGAGATTTGGCATTGTAACTCTTATTTAGTGTTAAATAATAAATATTTCTGAAGTTGATAATTTAACACTTAATTACACCAACTAGGTGTTAGAATTGGAATATTAACACTCTAATGGAATTTTTTCCTAACTACAATGATTTCAATACATAGACTTTGGCTCTCAACAATATGTGGCACAATTTTCTAAATTTGACTTTGCCGCTTTTGAAGGAGGATAATTATTGATATAGTTGAAAGGGAAAACATCCATCAATCAATCCACATTTCTCTGGATGGATGATTGAATGAAACTTAAAATGTGTACATACTAGGAAGGCATGATATATTGCTGTTGGCATCAGAATCAGCTGTTATTCATTCTTTTTTTCATACATTAATGTCTAACTATAGACTAAATATAAACATCAGTGTATTTTTGTTCTTTTGTGTTCTCAACAATAGGAAAACATTCGATAAATATATGTTTGATCTAATTTTTGGAAAATACAAACCCTATTGAAAGTGTTTGTGTCGAGTAACTGTAAGTCCATCAGCCCCCACCCTTAGTGTGTCCCCACCAACTTTCATCACAAAGTTACACCCTTGTCTATATATAGAGAGAGAAACTCGCTGTTTTGCTTTTTCTTCTTTGTATTAAAGCTCAAGCTGAGTCAGATATGACTGCCAAGTGTTCATTCCAATGCATGTTTTGTTCTAAACCCTACCCTGTAGATCAGGGGTGGGCAATTCCAGTTTCTATGGGCCTGTATCCTGCAACTTTTAGATGTTCCTCTGGTTCAACAGACCTGAATCAAGTAATTAGATAATAGACAGGACTCTGGAGGAACTGACTACATTCTGAGGAGGTAACTCTGTCATCAACACCCTTGTTTATAGATGCTGGAGATCTGCCTGTTTTCCAGTGTGGTCCTGTTTCTCTGACCGTGACTGGCTGGATGTGCTCTCTTCGTCCTCTGGCATGGGAGCTGGCTCAGAGCTCGTCTGCCGGGCTGTGTGTTTCCTGGACGGGGCCGCCTTTTACAGCTGCTTTTTGTGTCTCTGCTTCTGTCTCCTTGAACCCCAGTCGGCCTCGGCAGATGGCCGCTCACACTGAGCCTGGTTCTGCTGGAGGTTTCTTCCTGTTAAAAGGGAGTTTTTCCTCTCCACTGTCGCTACAAGCATGCTTACTGTGAGGGATTGTATTTGAGACAATGAGTCAATGCAATCAACTGGTTTTCCTTAGATAGAAAACTTTGTATCAATTTGACTGTATGATCTGGTTGAACTGTAAAGTGCCTTGAGATGACATGTGTTGTGAATTTAGCACTATATAAATAAACTGAATTGAAAATTGAATTGAATTTAAATCAGGTGTGCTGGACCACAGATTAATCTAAATGTAGCAGGATACCGGCCCTCGGGAACTGTAATAGCCAACACCTGCCGTAGATCTTTGTATTAAGGGATAGCAAACATAAGTACCACCTCAGTCAGAAGTTTAGTGCAGCCTGTAACAGTTTTTTCTCCAGGATTTAGGATATTTAGTTACATGCCTTTACACATCAATTCTGAACACATGCACAGTCTGTGACGAAAAAGCAGAGACAGAAAATCTTACCCATTTTATGGTGCTTCCCCGACCATGTTTATACTATAAAGAAGATAAAGGAAAGTGGTAACATTTGATCGATTCTGCAGTTTCTGAGTAATAAAGTCAGAATACAAATGCATACTACAATTTTAATATGAGGAAAGATACTTTGAATCCACAAATAAGTTTACTTTACTTCAATTTCCATTTGAGTTGGTCTACAGCATAACATATAATAAAGATGCTGGTGTTAGCATGAACAAACATGAAAATATTTGACTTTTTTAAGTCATTCATGGTCTTTTTAATTTATAGAGCCTATCTATACCTTTGTTAAACCTGTAAGACAAAAAATCCATAATTTCTAAACTTCCTCCAGCTTTAAATGGGTCATCCTATAGACACTCTTAAGCTTATATTTAATTAAACCACATTTTGATTATGTTTTAGCTTCTTCTTCAGATGGAGTATTTCAATATTCTAGGGCTGCAACTAGCAATTATTTTGCAAATCAGTTAATCTCTCGATTAATACTCGGATAGCAAAAGGTACCTTAAAGAAGATTTTTTTTTTTTTTTTTTTTTACCAAATTAAACCTGTTGAATCTAACACTTTTCCGCTGAGTAGTTCTCGATAGAGCCTATTAACGGACTAAAACCTTTTTTTTTATCCTAAATGCAAAATATTTATATATATTTTTTTGATTTTGATATAATTACTGCTCTTCATGAGTTGTCCTGTCTGCTAAAGGCATGTTTTAGAGCAGGCATCCCCAAACTCGGTCCTCGAGGGCCGCTGTCCTGCAGGTTTTAAGGGTTTCCCTGCTTTAGCACAGCTGACTATCAGGAATGCAGTAGGGCAGAAGCCTGTTAATCGGCTTTCAGTTAAAATCAGCTGTGCTGGAGCAAGGAAGTCTCTAAAACCTGCAGGACAGCGGGCCTTGAGGACCGAGTTTGGGGATGCCTGTTTTACAGTCTCTATAATCCAGCTAACAATCATGGATTAGTTGATATTTATTTCAATAATTGATTAAACACGATTTATCTGATTAACTGTTTCAGCACAACAATATGTGTCCACATCATGATTTTGGGAATATCTGGTCACTCTGCTACGTATATCAAGCTTTTTATCATATGGTCCAAAAATGTTAAGTCAAAAATATTTCAAAATGAAAAAAACGAAAAAATAAAAATAAATAAAAAGTTACAAAAAAATATATTAATTTTTTCTATTTAACTTTCACTACAAAATGTGAGCATTCAAATTTTAATCAAAGCAGTTAGATTTTCTTCAGAAAAAGGGACGTTTAAACTGTTTTAAAGCCAAAACGTTTAAGTTATTTAGCATATCATCATTATAAAGTCTCCCATTTTACATACTCATTTGTGCTCTACTGAATAGAAAAAATAGTTAGTATATTTTAAGCAATCGAATGGGATTACGATCCACATTTATTGGAAAACACCTGGAAACACACACAAAAAAAGGTAGCGATAACATAAGTGAAAACAGTGATTCAAAAATTGTTTATCTAAAATTAAATGTAACAAACCCACAAAGTCGTACACTAAGTTTTTCGAAATATTCAGCCCGGCCTTAATTCCTTCAGTCATATAAATACTAGTGTTACTAGCAGTTGTGGTCACATAAACAGCTCCGTCAGGATGAGTTGGAAAATGTCACAGCCCCTCTGACATTACTGCTTACCTTACCTACCTGGGCCTGTGAAATTCATTCAAGTTTCTGTTGTGGTGTTAATCCTTGGTACGTATAATCCACTTTTTTTTCAGCATTTCTATGAAGGATATTATGTCTCTTAACTTACTGATGCATTTTACCCAGGATATTTTTTTGATATATTTTTTTTTTCATTTACTGCATAAAATGTTTGTTTTTTTTTTATCTCAGAAAAGATTGGTACTGTATTGGTCATATGAAAGCTGTGTAATATTTTACTATCATTTTTTGCATGCCAGAAAATCTGTCCCTCTAACAGGTTTTTGTAAATCTTTGAGAATTCAATGTTTCATTATCTGGAAATTTTAATGTATAAAAAAGGATCAAGGTAGCATTGCATTTATTTATGAACTGAAAGATTTCTGACTTATTTATTTCCACCTAACAGGCTGAGTCCGTCTTCCTTGGTTGCAGTATCAAGTATGATCACTTGAGGGCAACGTTATTCTGTTGTTTAAACATTCTTCTTCTATCAGGAGATTTAGTTAAATTACAGATGTTTTGCTTTATAAACTAAACTCTGAAGAAAACAAGAAAGATAGAGATGTTCCATTTGACATAATGGCAAGAATGAAATAAAAATATTAATACATTACAAATACATTCAACTCAGAGTTAAAGAAAATAACAGTTCTGTCTCTGAAACTAGATACACTACAGATTTTTATCATATGCTTAATTGTCCACTTTATGGGTTGTTACAGTAGAATATCGGACCTAAGTGGACCAACTATCCTCTGCATATCCTTGGCACATCCACTAAACTTAATGGTTCAATTCTAATTCATAACTATATGATTTTACAGTAGCAGAATGAGACATGAAACTGTTTATTTTTTTACTTTCAGCAAATAACTAAAAATATAAGGCTCAATAAAATTATACAGAATCAATACATTTATAAACCTTTGTTTTTGGTGAGTGTTTTTAGTTTAGTTTTGTTTTTTGGGGGGTAAAAATGAGTAATCTTAAGAATTTAATAGAAGTGAAAGCTGTAGAAAACCATGACATAAAGATGGGAAGCTCTGGTGTTCATATATGGATCCTGCAGGTGATGCTGATGTTACACAGCGTGAATAAACTACCAAATGCATGGAGCTCTGACTACCTTAAATAATGAGATTGGCATCAAATCATTTTGTCTGGGAACAACTTTATGCAAATGTTT